ATTTACGTGTGGAGTGATGGAGAAGCACGTGGTGGTGTTGGTGGTGGAGGAGGAGGAGGAGGGGTGGTGGTGGGGGTTGAGGCTTTGGAACAATTATTCCTTCACTCACACCACCAGAGATTTCAGATAAACTAGTCCCTATAATAATTATTTAAGTTGAAGTCATTAATCAATTAATAATTATACTATCATATTTATATCTTGTATTAAATTATTTTCTATATTTGACACAACTCAAGTGGGAAAGGTTCTTTTGGATTATTGGTAAAAATAATGCCAAAACAAGTCCATGTAACAATAACAAATTAATTTATTTCTTCAATAAATGTTTGGTACGATCATGTTCACATGTATGTCAAAATGTACTTAAATACTGTTGGAACAGAAATTCCATAACTAATTCCAAGCTTTGATTGATAAACACATAACTCACCAAGTTACTGAATAGCGGAATAAATGCAATAGCTCTGATTATTAAACACTGAATAACTTTTCTGACATTGAACTGAATCACTGACTGATTACTCATATTTATAAGTAGTATATCCTTGTCTCTAGAAATGAGATGAAGCTTCTTGATTAGTACATCATCATTGTTAGCAGCTCCCTCTAGCAAACAAATAAATCATAACATTGAAAATATAGCTTACAACAATACTTTTTAATATAAGGTCACACAGTTTATTATTTCTATTTTACTTATGGATTTATACCATAAATGTATGTACTAAAATGTTCACCTCTGGGCAAAGACTTCTGATATATTTCAAGCTCTTCTATCTTTGATTCCAATATACTCTGTCTTTGGAGAGATTCTTCCTCCTTTTGTCTAACAGCTTGGCGTAAGGTGTTAAGTTCTTCATCTGTTTGTTGGTGCAATTCCTGAAGATTATTTGAAAGATATTTCTACACGTTATAAATCATTCACTTTCAGTGATGATTATAATAGACAATTTAAAAATTCTGGGTTTCTACACAAAATATAAACCTTACTTTGTTTCAAAAGCTACTTATTAGTTCAATTTTTACTGCATAATTGCACATTAAAATATATTTAATTCACTATCAATATTTTCTATGAAAGACATTTCTTTGTGGTCTAGTTTGTTTAATCATTCATGAGGTATGTTTCAATATTTAAAAATGGTAAATTGTGAAATATATTACTTTTACTATTCCAATTTATCATTTAATATTTCAGTGATATATGAATTTGTTTATTACATGGCAAAATAAAACATACAAGAAACTTGCCAATATTTTTAATTTCTTTAGAATTCTCCTATCTTTTGTTGAAGTCTATAAGAGCTAAACTATACACTTTTTTTAATTGTTTAAAAAGATTTAGAAATATAATATGTTCATAAATTTTGAACCACTTTATTAATTGAACAGAGTGAAAACTGCATGATAAACAATTGTGGTTTGGGTATAATGGAGGTTAACATCTCAGGTTTGTCCATGGCAAGAGAAGTGGGTACCATTTGTGGCTTGAATGATGCCCAGGCAATAATCAATCTTCAACCATATATATATACAGGATTCCAGTTAACCCGAACTCCCGGGTCCCATACGCACAAGAATTTGTCGGATGAGATTTGACCCACTGGGTACCAAATACACACTGCCCCATACAAAAGGCAAGCACAAGTATTTTGCTTCAAACTTTGTACTATAATAAACTAATCAGCATACAGTTTGCACAAAGCTGTCCACAATCAATTTCTAACAGCTTTCATTAACAATTACATGAAAATAAAGCCATGTGAAAGTACCACATGATTAACCCTTTCAACTTGGGTAGATCAAAGTGTGCATGTCACAACCTTTCACAGAGTTACATTCAAAAATTTAATTGAACTACTATATTATCAATGTATATGAACATACTCAGCATCAGAACATAGATAATAAATCAAAGTTTAGTATAATTTAAGTTTTAAGTTCTTAATTTTATAAGGAAATACTATTTTCAAAAGATTCTCAGTCTTCCGTAGTATAAAAACTGTGATCTTTGTTATTTGTGTCTTCCCTCTTCTTTAACTTTTTTTATCACCCCTCTGAGAAGTAAAAAAATTTAATGGAAATTACTCATTATAATGTTTTCATCAGATCTTGCCAATAGTTCTCTCTGACATTTTAAGACCATATTATTTATAACCAACAGAAAGCCAAAGTTTTTCTCAATCAAATGATGTATTATATTGTACAGAGTATTGTCTATTTTCCTTCTAGTTCAAACTTTATTCCCATGGGAAACACATCAATGACTCAGCTGAATTTTTAATGCCTTTTGTTGCACAGTTATAAATCCAAAAAAAATCTAAAGTTATGGAACATTGTTTCCTTTTTGCATGATATTATTCTGTGTTCTTTAGTGCATTATTTAACTAAATAGAAATTATTTAATGCAGTAGTACAATTAGTATAAAAAAGTAGGGTTAAGTTTCATCAACAGTCGAGAGCAAAACAAAAAACAAGTAAGTACTTTATTTCTTTTTTGTGATGTGTATTCTTTATCTATTATTATGAAAGTAACTAAAACGTAAAAACAGAAAACTTTTTAAGTTAGATAAAGTGAAATTAATAATAATAATTTTTTATGAGGTACATTTGTGAGTAGTTCGTGCATTATGTAATTCAATACTGTAATATGAATTGAATGTTCATCATGTGATTTGCAATTTATGTTGTGTAAATTGTAGTTAGACATGGTTCAAAGGGCAATAAAATAATAAAATTGAAGTATAAATAGATGATAGATGTATATTGTTACAAACTTTCAGCTACTTAGGATAAACAATCGTGGTTTTCTGTTACAATTTGTAGTCATTTCAGAAAGAAAATAGGAAAAATTTATAATTATTTCCTATTTTATTATGGTGATTATGAGGTCAGTCAAATAAACTGACCTCATATAGAGTTATGTCAGAAAAATATAACAGATAAAATATGAAGTTTTTCTGAAAAAAACAAAAACATTTGATATTTATTTAGAAAGTTTTAGGGGTTATGCAAATAATATTTGAAAACTTTCAGATGAAGAAAAATATTTTTAATCTTATAATGAAAATTACTTTGCACTCATAAAGGGAAACAACATGCAGTTTAAATTATAAATAAAGTTTTTTCATTAAACATTAACATGCTCTTTTCCACTTGCAGAAGGTAAACATGTAGTTTACATTGTAAATAAAGTTTTTCATTCACACGGAAGATCTTTTTTCTTTTTCTTTTGAGTTCATTAAATTCTACCTATGAGACCCTTGAAAATCTCATTAGGATTCTTGAAAAAAAAAAAGTTGAAAATCCCGGACCCTAGTGAGAACCCTGATGTGCCAGCATCTCTGGAATAATTATCACCACTGCATGGGTTATTTGAGTAACATTAACATATCTTATAGTCAATGTCCTTCACATAACCCCCAACTAAACTAGTGGGAAAAAACTTCAGACATATCTTTCACATGTCACAAATCACAACTGTTTTTTTGGTATGATTCTTATTATATTAAATTAAGAAAGTGGTTCAATAATTTATGTAGAAATGTTAAGAAAAGCCTTGCCTGTAAATCATTTTTTTCCTTGCGTACACATTCTAGCTCAGTTTCAAGCTCCACTAAAAGAACAGTACAGATACTCATTAACAACTATCAAGTAGATGCGTGAATTGAATTGTTGAAACACCTTACTTCATTAATATAGAATAAATCAAGTCTCACTTAACATATCATGTCTTTAAGTTTATAAGAAATATATACAACCATAAAAGTTTGATCATATTTTATACATCTAAGGTATGAAAATGATTTAGCATAAAACTTCATTATAATAGCTCAGTTTTCAAATCCTCCATCTAATGTATTTGTTTCTGTGTGATCACAAAATTATCAATGCATATTTTTTTAGCTTTAGCTGAACTTACAGTAACTATTGTTTGTGTTGATTAAAACTATATTAGGAATTATCAATTGTCACTACTACATCTCTGCCTTAAAAACACTTTTATCTGTCTATTTGAACTACCTAGTCTTGCATTCATTTCATTCTCCATCTCGAAATATTCTTCATTTGCCTATAAAATATCAAAATTACAAAGTTTTCAGTAATAGTTTCCCTCATTTATATTTTCACTTCACATTTTATTAGGACTTTTAACTAATACAGTTAAGTTTCTAAACAAGAAGAAAATTTGAATCTAAACTTACAATTATTAAACAATAAGCATATATATATGCTTGATGTTACTATTTCAGGAAATAATCTACACTGAAATTATGCTGTGGCATGTTTTTCAAACACTGTGAAACTGTAGAGTATTTACTAAAAATTTAATTTGTGTGGGTGTAATACTTTAAAGGAATGACTCCTAAGAAGAGAATGACCCAAAGATAGTAAATTGTATAACCATTAAAACAAATCAATAAATCAATCAATAAAGATTACAGTAGTATTAAATAAATATTTTCCAACTATACCTTTACTAATAAATAAAGTTGCTTATTTCTTTAGAAAAGAAAAACATGTAAAATAGCCTCTTTCCCCATAAAACTTACTCTAGACAATTGCTCTTCCAATTCTGCCACTTGTTCTAGAGCTGTAATCTTTGTTTCAGAATCTTCCATGAGGGCTGCAACATCAAACACATTATCAAGATATGCAGAAATTTGAACCTGAAGTTCCTCACTTTCTGACTGACGAAGCTTCTCCAAGTAGTCATCTAATCCAAGTTGTGTAAATTCATACTGCAAGTGTATTCGGAAGTTCATGTCTTCTACAGAATGTACCACTATGTTGATAAATTGCATACATGCAACCTGCAGTAAGAGTTGATTTTTTCCATTGAGTATTTGCTTGGGATTAGAGCCACAGAAAATCATTGTTTCTTCTTACAACTATCATGATAAGTTTGTTGTTTTTGAAATCCCTTTTAAAACTAACTTTCAAGACATTAAAATGTGATTTAAAACTCTATCAAAAGAAGTAAATTAACAAAAAAGGGGGGAAAAAAGGCTTAAATGAAAGAAAAACATATTATAAAGTTAACGTCTGAGAATTATAATAGGTAGGCAAACAATGATTTATAAGCATAAGGAAAAGTTTTATTGATGGTGGAACATACTATATTTTTGACAGAACATTGGCCTGTCTTCTTCAGGTATGATCAGTACTAAGCAATCCAACATTTATATATTGTTACCAAGACAATAGGGATTCAATGTGATGGAAATGGTGTAAGCAGGTGAGTGGATATAGGTAGAGGTCAGGTGTAGTCAAGTGTATGAACAGTGAATAGACCTTGCCAAAAATGGCTGATGATGCCGAGGCCATTATCACGGTTTAGTAAAAGGTCATTTGCTTTGATGATTTCTGTAGTTTCTAAATAGTCTTCATTTTTAGTTTTGAGTTGGTGTAGGAGAAGAATTTTGTCCCAAAGTATTTTCTGACCTGTTTCATAATGATGACATGTTAAGGCGGATAACTGGAAATCACCTCTATGCATGTGACCTTGGTGTTCTGTGTATCTTGCTTCTAAGGGACGTGACGTTTCTCCTTTGTGTTTCTTTTCACATTCACATGGGATACTGTATATGCTCCATTTTTGTCTGGTTCTATTTACAAGCATGTATTGGTCAAATTAAAATTGTCATCTGCCACAAAGAAGCTGAATTTATTATGTAAACACAATGTCACTAGCTAATGCTCACATTATTAAGAGGGAAACAAAAGCTGTATGCTGTTTAAGAGTTGTATTGTTCAATTTTTTAAAGAACTGGGAATGCTAGCCTAAAACTAGTTACTTAAGGAGCTTATTCTAATATTATATTATTAATCTGTACTTTTACAAATAAATATTGGATTTATCAGACATTTTTAAGAACCAAAAACATTTGTAAAAAGTTTGTTAAATAAATGAAAATTTAGATTCTAGTAAAAAGGAAAGAACAAATTTCTATACTTTAAGTAAATCATACAGATGTGCACTGTACTCAAATATATAAACTAATAACACATTAATTATCTCAACTAAACTAAATGTGAGGAGTGCCTTACCATGAAATCAATATTAAAAACTTCATAGTTCATGAAATATTCCATAAGTGTTTCAAATCTTCTTCTTTCCACACAAACTTCTTTGAATTGATCAAAAGCATTCAAAATAATTTCATGGCCCCCTTTCACTAGACAGATTGCTGCCAAAAGTTCCAAAACAAGGGCTTTTGTTCTGAGAAGAAGAAGAAAAAAGCACTTACATATATCTAAATCTTAATATAAAACTATAAATGTGTGTGTCAGTATAGTATCTTAGATTATAGCAGAATATGGAAATCTATTTACTTTCAGTGACTTTTGACTTAAGTCAAGTAAATACACATAACCTTAAATCATAAATAACACATTTATTGTTTCCTTTTAAATGAAAAATATGCAACTGAAAGTGAAAAAATATTAATTACTGCAAAAGACATTAAGATTCATGTCTCATGCACCATCTAAATCACTTGACTTAATCTATAATAGACTGTAATAAACTTAGGTTTGAAGACCTCATAGTTCATATGGTAAAGTATCCCTCTAAAAATGTTATTGTGAGAAGAAATCCCTGAATTCCAACTTCAGTAAAGATAGAGTGCTTTTCAGTTGCTTCTGATAATTACAAGTGTTGATGTTTGTAAATTAATAGATATATACAATTGAAATGGGAAGATGTACTTTATGTAAGTGCAAATCTGTTCTGTGAAATATGGGATGAAAATGTTGAGGTTTAAAATAAGAAGATGTAAACATCTGTAAATACATGTCATGTGGTGGTGAACGAAGCTATTTATTTGGATCACAAGATGGTGAGAAGAAGTAAGAATGAAGGAAATGTTTTGAAATTATGAAGGAGAATAGTAATGAACTAAGTGAAGGACTAGTTGCTTGGGGTGGAAACCCTGATAGTTCAGATTTAGTAGAGAACTGATCTAGATAATAGTGTAATATGGGGTCTTAGATTCCAGTCTTAGTTGGGATAGATTTCTCTTTACCAATTTCAGATTATTACAGATCTTTTAGAGATGTATATGTATAATTTTCCCATTACTCGAACTTTCTAAGTGTCACCATAATTACCAATTTCTTGGTATGTATGATTTAATATATGTTCTGCAGAACACATTACAATTTTATGGCTTTTTTAAAATCTCAGTACACTCCTGTATATTATGTCCAGCAAATGATATGCAGAAGTCCTTCCTGTAATAAGCTATACATGCAACATATACATAGTTACAAAGCATTCCACATTAAAATCTTCTTTCAGTTAGGACTGTCTATAATAACGTTCCATCAAAATTACTGGCCTTTCTTCTTTTTTTTTCTTTGTTAACAAAAGATGATTTTGTTCAAATATATTTAAAAGCTATATTAACATGAAATTCACAGTTCATACAATTAATTTTTTTAGCCAAATCACATCGTTTTACACAAAGTTAGTATAATTATAATAATATATCACAGGAAGAAAATATAAAGAAAATAAAAAACAATACTTTAATCCAGTGTTTTCTAAACTTTGCATAGCAGCATGCCCCAAACTCAGAAAAGTTTCTGTCATGTCTGCCCCACAGTTAAAATAATTTTCGCAAGCAATAACAACAAAATCCAGATTTTCTTTAGCTGTTTTTAATAAATTTTTTTAAATGAAAAAATGCTTGTATGGAGTGAGTAAATCTGAGAACAAAAAAAACCTTTGAAAGAAAAGTGATAGTTTTGTTAGGTTATCATCATCTCCAACTCTTCTGTTTCTTTCATCGTTATTTTTGAGCTCTCCCACTAAAAGATTGCACACACACAGCCACAAGTACTCACCCCCTCAGAGGAGCATGCCCCACAGTTTGGAAAACACTGCTTTAATCTCTTAAAAATACAGAATTAACTAGGTATATATATTCTACTAAAATGTAAAACACAAATCTGAAACTGCATTAAATTTCAAGAGCATCTTATCAGTAGCTTTACCTTAAACTTTTGTGGTTGAGACTTAAAGCAATGCAGTTGATGGCTTCAGTGTGTTCTATCACCATGTTGAAACCATACTGTAATCATTTAAGAAAGTACATTAAAAAATGAATTAATATCACAAGTTTATTTTTCTGATCAACTTGAAAAAGATATGTTTAAAAAAAATATATAAAATCCAATAGGAAACAAGACTGCTTTTTTTTAAAAGTACATAGCCCATTAATGCTTTACCACAAAAACACAGCTGTCTGTCTTAATTAGAATTTTAACTTGAGAACAGGACATGTCTAGCTAAAAAGGATAGAATCTTAAAATTTCAGTTACAAAATAAGATAATTGTATATAACCATTATACCTCTATCCGTCATCTGTGCTTATTTAGAAATTTCAATATTTTAAACTTTCCTAAATTCAACACCAAGAACATTGAAAATATGAAATATGAAGTAACAAGATACTTATACATAGTCATACAGCTTCAGAAAGCACATACACATAATAATCATCTTGCTCCATAAGATTAAAATAAGAAAGCCAAACAAGTGATGCTTTTTTTACCTTATTATTCATGATAGCTCGAAGGCACATGATGCAAACATGAATATCATCCTTAGCTTCCCCCATGTTTAGTTTTGCTATATGTCTAGAAGCTCTTCTAATCTTTGGTGTATCAAACTCTAGGATGAAATGATGTGATGCTGGGTAACCGTTAGAAATTGTTCCATTCTCATGATCATGATCATCATGAACATGGGTATCTCGTAAAGTTTGTTCATGTCTGATTAATAAAAGTTAAAAGACATAGGCCTAAGAGATGATAAAAATACAGCATTTAAACAAACAAACAGTTTATAGTATAGTATTAAACTGCATTAATTACTCAAAACCATTATTTAACATATTTTGAAAATTAAAGTGATTACACATATAAAACCAAACACATACATAAAATTAAATAATGGCAAATTGGCCATTATATTTTAGTCAAAACCTTTTACAACTTACTTAAGGATCACAAGTCGAAATGCTAAATAGTCTATGAGGACATCCAACCCTTTGTTTTCCTCATTCAGAAATTCTCGAACCCATCTAAATAAGAGAAAAAATTTATTTAATCTACAAGTTAAGATGTGGAAACACAGAAAAACCTTAAAAGTTGTGTAAAAATATCATTATAACAAAGTTTTTCTATAAATCAAACAAGTTCACACATCTAAATATTTATTTATTTTATCTGTAAAAAACTGAACAATTAATCAATTAAATGACTAAGCATACACCATAAATTATTTGTTCTAACAACATATACACAAAGCTTCCATACATAAATTACATATATGAAAACTAAATATTATAATGGTACTGTTATACATTACATTTTCAATATTATGCCTTTTTTATATACTGTCATGAGTCATTACTACAGTAGTGCATACTAACAACATCCACTGCAAATTAAAATCTGTAAGAATGGTTTCTAATACATATAATGGAAACAAGGGTGCTTACATTTGAATTTAGATACAGAAAGCTGTCTTACCAATTTATCAAACTGTGATAAAAATTTCATGTTGAAACAGTAGGGGGTCCAAACACAAGTGCATGTGCTCTGAGTTTGGAAAAATAATAAATTCAAAGCTTTTTGGATGTCTAATCTTTAAACCTTTTCAGTCAGCAAAACAGCAGTTTTTGTTTTCTTACCTTGAAAATCTTGTCTTTCTCATTTAGAAGAAGTAAAAGTAAAATTAATGAGTTTATAAACATTTATGCTCCTCGTTTAGAGTTTCAAAGATTTCAGACAGAGAAACTATCATCTAAAAGTACAGTACTCTGCTTTATCAATTTTGCATATCTAACTATTTTTTATTATTACTATTTTTAAAAACATGCACCAATCTTTGTAAAATCAAAGTTCAAACTTTTTTGAAATATTTTACTTGTGATAATCATCCACCTTAAACAGATATGCAAGTCCAAATACGAATATGAACAGCTTAATTTTTTATATGAATAACATTCAGCTTTTGTGCAATAAAGTTTTATCATGTTCTTATGATGCAATCAACCAGTACCATCCTATACTTAATTATACTTTGATTGAGAGAGCAAATGACAAGAATACTAGCATTACTAAGTATATTTTTTCTTAATGAGCTGTTTTTTAATTTTATGTCATAAATCCACAAATTTTTTAAGTGCTCAACTGTGAAATTCCAAAATACATTATCCTTATCCAATAACAATACTTGTTATATGCTAACTGGCCACTTTATTATGAACTGCACCTGATATCAGGTCAGAATCAACCCTTTATTATTAAAATAGCTTGGACTTGGTCTGGCACAGACTCCAAGAAATGCCAGAATGAGAATGTATTTTGTACACAAATACCAAAAGGAATTACATTGGTGAATGTGATGTTTGTCTGAAAGATGCTCAGATACATTAAGATCTGGTGGCTGTGTAGCCAAGGAAGATGGAAAAATCATTTTCATACTCTTTGAACCAATTTTTTACAATATGAGCACAGTTTATTGTTGCATGTCATTTTAAAGAAGCCCCTATCCATTAGAATGGACAAGAAGGAGAACAACATTCAGGTGTACTCTGAATATTATTCACCATTCTCAAGAAATCAGAGAAAACTAGAACATTAAAACACTTTAATTCTCTTGCACTATCAGAATAAGACAAGTAGAGTGAACAGAGGCTGATCCAGGATTTTGAACAGGAGAGGGTAAGTAAAAGAATAAGACGGAAGGCATTTTACTTATATTAGATAAAAAACAAAATAATAAATTTTGTTTTTAAGGTTAATTTATGATTATTTGGGTTTTTTGAGTTTTTTATTTATAAAATTTCTTTATCTAGGTATTAAAAAATTTAATTATGCTTTTCCAGAGCAGTGGGGCAGACCCCCTGCACCCACGCCTGGTGAAGTACCTCATGTGAATTTCTCCATATTTCTACTCAAGCGTCAGTACAAAGCACAGTAAAATACAACCTCACAGTCCATCTCACATATACACACACAATAAATGAGTGACTACAGTTTGAACCCTAAGCCCCATTGAAACCATACTTTTCTATTTAGACCTGGAACAAGGAGTTTTTGACCAATAGTAAGCTAAATAATGACAGTTTCTTTAATGTCCTTCACAAGAAACAACTGAAGACAATCTAATGCCAATCACTGTTGAAGGTCGATTTGGACATAGTCTGAAGAATATTAAAAGCTTTAGAATAACTTTTAACTTCAGTCAGTCATCAGTGGTTGTAGCCACAGTATGCCCTAGTAACATATACATTTCCTTTTTATTACCACTATATATAGACTCTGATGAATGAATTTTACCTTTGAAAAGCTGATAAATAAAAAACAGTCTTTGTAATGAAAATTTCTGAAAGAATGACATTCGTTATAAGGTTCATTTGAAAGACTAAGTATCTAACAGACTAACCAAATTTTTTGTTTGTTGTTAAACAAAGATACATAGAGGGCTGTTTGTTCAGTTGATACAAAAGTATCCAAACCTAGGAAGCATAATCAAGTTTTAGAAATCACCTAACACATCAAATGATGGGTCTATGTTGTAAATTTATGCTGATGGCAGGGTTAGCAGGATGCTACAAAAGTGACTAACTTTGTTAGTGTAAAAATTAAAAACTTTCATGGCATTTTTGTATTTTTTTTAAACAATGGAAGGAAAAACAACAAGCTATTAAAAATATAAATTACAGTACAACTAACACCATATAACTTTATTAAATTGACAGAAGAAGCATAAAAGTAATAAATTAATATTAATTTACTTTCATACACACAAAACACATTTCAAAACTTTGTCTCACTCTATGTGATTTGTCCTTAAGGAGATCTCAAGATCCCGAAGAACTTGTGTTGATGAAGCATCTCCAAGAAATTTTCTTTTCTGAAATTATAAAAAAAAAGTGTTTGTTTAATTTTGCATAAAGCCCTATTTGCACTAACTGTCCCCAATAAGAAGCTATAAACTAGACTAGTCAACATTATAAATTGCCAACAACTACTAGGCTACTCTAACAACTAAAAGTGGGATTAATCCCACAATAATGACAACCCTGGGTTATTCTAATTTTCAACATAAATTTAAAGAACTAACGAGATTTGTAAAATACGTATTCTCAAGTTTTTGATAAAGTAATGTCTCATTTTCCTGAATTCAGAATAGCATAACGCACAATATAGCATAATCAAAATTTATTTGCAAAAACATTTTTTTTATTTAAAAGTAACGTGCCTTAGGGTTACAGATTATAACTCTGAGCAATATTATTATGAAAATCACAAAAACAAAATTGTCAAAAATATACAAAAGAGCAATTTTCTTATTCTAAACGAGAATGCCATACCTGCCACAAGAGCCCGCCTGCATCGCCAATATTGGTATAAAATAAGTGGTGCAATAAGTATTTCCACCGGCTATATGTTACAACACATACAAGCGCCCCCCCCCCCCCGATTCCAGCCGGTTCTTCTAGTTTGAGAGAATGTCGAATACGATACACAAATAATAGAGGAAAAAAAGAGAGAGAGAGACAAGCATAACTGAATATTTCTGCAGAAGACATATACTATCCTACCAATAGTCATGGGACACACCTCTGATTGCAGGAAAATGTGTGTGACGACGAAATATACAAATAGTTTGGCTTATAAAGGTGGTCAGCGGTTCGCTCGGAAATGATTTCGAACTTGTACGCCGAACGATGAGTACACGGAAAGAGCTAACAAAGTTTCAGAGGGGAAGGATAGTTGGATGTCATTTGGGGAAAATGTCTGTACATGATATTGCACAACAATTAAACATTCCCAGGTCGGCAATTGGCAACGTGCTGAAGAAATGGAAGTCCACAGATGGCAATGAGCCCAAGAAACGACCAGGTAAGCGTAAAATACTGACTGACAGAAGCCGACGCGCCTTGAGAAGACTGGTTACCTCATCTCGCGGTCAGACCCTAGAGAATCTGTGTTTGGAGATGCCAGCAGCCACAGGCAATCCTACAATTCTTTCCACGACACGTTGAGTGCTGCATGCCGTGCATTTTCACAGAAGAGCTGCAGCCCACAAACCGTTGATAACAAAAACAAATGCACACCGGCAATTGGCATGGGGCAAGGTACACCTAACCTGTACCGTGGATCAATGGAAATCGGTCCTGTGGAGCGACGATTCATGCTACAGGCTCTTCCAATCTGATGGACGTGTTTGGGTATGGAGGATGCCTGGAGAACGCTTATTAACAGAGTGTGTTGTACCAACAGTGAAGTATGAGGGTGGCATTATTATGGTCTGGGGTGCTTCTCGCGTATGGACTAGGTACACTGGTCGCAGTGCATGTATCCATGAATGCTGAGTCCTACATTAATGTTCTAAACAATTCTGTGTGTCCTACATTGTGGCAATTTTATGGTACCGACCCTTACACCTTCCAACATGATAACGCTCCATGTCATAAAGCAAGGATTGTGAAAGCGTGGTTTAAAGAGAATAACACTGAACACTGCAGTCGCCAGAACAGAGCCTCGACCTCAACCCCACAGAACATATTTGGGATGAACTGGAACACAGAATTAGGGCAAGGCCAATGGAGCTTACTAATGCTTTAAAGGAGGGGTGTACAATACCACCAGCTTTTACGAAAAATTAGTAGACAGTCTTCAACGACGCACTGAAGCAGTCATTAAGGCCAAAGGCGGGCCAACACGCTATTAATATCTTGGAATAAAGATATGTTTTATTCATAACTACCTGTGTCCCATGATTTTTGGTAAGGTAGTGTATATATCAGTAAATTACTGGGCCGTCGCGACAAAATGTTGTGCCTCTTACATGGTATTTAATTGTAGGCCCATTTAAAAACATTATTGTTGAAACAGTGGGAAATTTGTCTTATCCAATTAGAAATATAAATGTTGTGCCTCTTACATGGTATTTAATTGTAGGCCCATTTAAAAACATTATTGTTGAAACAGTGGGAAATTTGTCTTATCCAATTAGAAATATAAATTTTGCTATCATATGTTTTTACTAGGGGTGTGGCAATATGAAACGAGTATGGTATCGTAAAGCCGTGATACGATTGTATTGTACCGATACATCATTCAATACGATAAGATTTATGCATCTTTCTCAAATTTGGCAAGCTTTCAGTAAACATTACAAGTCTTTTGTACAGAAAAAATAAGAATGTGTAATAAAGTATTTTTGCTAAAAATTAATATTTTATCATATGGAGTCAAAGTAATCACTGTTCCAAGTGTAAAGCAATTTTCATGTTAAGATTAAAAATACTTTTCTCTATCTAAAAATCAACAAATTTATTTCATGTAATCTCTAAAGCCTCCGAAATAAACTTCCAACTTTTTCCGATAAATCTTCATATTTTATCTGCTATATTCACTACCCTAATTTTATGTGAAGTCGGTCAGTTTGACCAGCCTCGTAACCACCATAAAAATACAAAATAAATCAAAATTATCCTTTTTTCTTTCTAGAATTACTTTAAATTGTAGCAGGAAACTACATTCGCTTACACTGTTTCTAATTAAATTTTACTGTCAAGACTGTTAAACTTTGTAACAAACTGTTGGTAAAACTTCTCTATCGTATCGGCCATAGTTTTTACGTGGTATGACAATTTACTCTTCAGTTGATCTTGTTACAAGTTCTTCTGAGGCTAGAAAGGACGTTAGAAAGTAAAAACATTGAATTTGTTTGTCATTAAGCACAAAGCTACACAATGAGTTATCAGTTCTGTTCCTACCACAGGTATCGAAACCCGGTTTTCAGCGTTGTAAGCGCGCAGACTTACCGCTGAACCACTTGGGGAGAGAGACAAAGACGATGGAATACTAAGCTCTCGTAATTTTATTTTTATTCTCAATTAATATTATTTTCAATTTCTTAGTAATAACCTAATTAATTTCGAGTTGTTTTGAGAATACAGTTTAGTTAGATTATTAACTTCCATACTCAATTATTAAAGCTAAATTGGACTCTTGTTTGTTTCCTCTGTTGCTATAATGTCGACTGTTTGTTTGTTTTGAATTTCGCGCAAAGCTACACGAAGGCTATCTGCGCTAGCCGTCCCTAATTTAGCAGTGTAAGACTAGAGGGAAGGCAGCTAGTCATCACCACCCACCGCCAACTCTGGGCTACTCTTTTACCAACGAATAGTGGAATTGACCGTCACTTATAACGCCCCCACGGCTGGAAGGGCGAGCATGTTTGGTGGGACGGGGATTCGACCTGCGAGTCGAGTGCCCTAACCACCTGGCCATGCCGGGCTATATGTCGAGTGTGAGGCACTAAGTTTAACCTTACATATGTACGTACAATTTATATATGGCATACCCCGTGATCCTTTCATCTTTGTTTACCAGGAAAATTATAAATATCAACTTGTACGTTTTTAAATGTCACTACATTTTGTAAATTAACAAGTTGGCTGAGAAACATACTTGTTGATTTATTAAATGGAAATGACAATTTATAATCTACACCTCGTTTTATTAAATCGCCTCATATATTTGTCAATTTACAAAAAAAAATCTATAAACTAAGTATGCACTATATAAATTGCAGATACAATTTAGTTTAAATTGCAAAGTTACATTTGGCGCATCATAGTCGAGCAGATGTACCGCTGTGCCACTGGGGGCCCTACATTTTGAATTGCTTTAATGTCATGCAGGAATTCAAAATTTGCGCGTGACCTTAGAACAACTCAAATATATTTCCCAAATTCATTAAAATACTTTCCAGTGAAATACAAAAATAAATTTAGATCTGAACCAGTGTTGTACAGAAACGATTGACTTATCCTTAAAAATTCAAAACTAGCAAAGCCTTACTTTTTTTATGATAGCAACTGCGGTAAAATTCTAAATAAAATGTAATTTCTTCTGTTAGTTCTTAAGTAATAATCAGGTTCAGCGTGGTTCTGATTAGTGAACCAAATTATGAGTACATGTTCACGACCAGTTACTGTAAAAAAAACAAACAAAAAACAGGTCAACTTCCACAATTTGATCAGACAAGCTAGTGCATATAGCCCTTGAGTAGCTTTGCGCGAATATACCAAAACAAACAATTTAGCGGTTGATATAACAGCCTCAAAACCATTCCTTCTATAATAAAGGAGGGTTTGCCATATGCCATTGACTAAACTATTAAGAATATCAATTACTCTCACAGTTGAACTCTACATTTGCTTGCTGACTACCTTGATTTGTACAAGCACATTATACTAAAATAGTAAAGAAAGTAAAAATCTGCATGATGCTAACTCATGTTCTGATGATCGAGGTTTAGCATAAACTGCATAATCCATTAACTCTACTTCAATTTCATTAATGCTGACAATATACGTTTCTTTGGTATATAACCTATTTTACACTTTCAATCTTACACTCTCACATATGAGAGTCAGCGACAAGTCTACATAAAATCCCGGGTTCGATTCCATATGGTGGACAGAGCACAGATAACCCGTTGTGTAGCTTTGCGCTAAAAACAACCAAACAACTTTTGACAAACTGTTGAAAGAAAGTTTGAAAGTAATATTAACAAAGAAGCCAAAACAGTACATTATTTGTAACTGAAAGAAATTAGACTGCACAACCTTATGTCTGATCTCGGCAGCCTTCCAATGTCATCCCAAGTTTCGTAAGCTCCCCAATAATGACTTTTGGTAGAACAGATCCTGTACTAACGAAGAAAATTAAATTTCTTTAGCACTTAGTTCCATTCCTTGGATATTCACTGTTCTTAAAACTACTAACAGCTACTCTTGAGGACTTACGTCAGAGACACCGTCCACCATTGTATACTAGTATTTCAAATAACCATATTAACGCCTTTTTTTTTGAGAATATTTATCTATATTA